TGTCGATTTCTGTGAAAATGCTAGTAGGGATTTTTGACAGTGACTGCATTGAATCTATAGATCAATTTGGGGACTAAGTCTTCTGATCAATGAATATGTAAAGACTGTTTACTTAGGACTTCCTTAATTTTTCTCAACAATATTTTATAGTTCTCAGTTAACAAGTCTTATACTTCCTTGGATAAATATCTTACTAAGTATGTTATTCTTTTTGAAGCCATGATAAATGAAATTATTTTCTTAATATCATTTTCAAATTCTTCACTGCTATTGTATAAGAATATAATTGATTTTATATTGAGCTTGTATCCTGCAACCATACTAAACTCACTTATTAAATCTGTTAGTTTTTTTGTGGATTTCTTCGAATTTTCTGTTTATGCGGTCATGTTACCTGCAAGTAAAGGGAGTTTTATTTCTTCCTTTACAATATGAACGCTTTCTATTTCTATTTCTATTCTTACATAATTGCCCTGGCTAAAATTTCTAGTATAACACTGAATAAAAGTGCTGAGGACAGACATCCTTGACTTATTACTGATCTTACATGGAAAGCATTTAATCTTACAACATTAAATATGAAGTGAGCCACTGGTTTTTCTCAGATGTCTTTTAAAAGGTTGGAAAAATTCCCTTTTACTCATAGCTTCTTGAAAGTTTTTATCATGAGAGGGTGCTGAATTTTGTTATCTGTTTTTTCTTTGTGTATTGAGATGATCATGTGACTATTGTCCATTTTTATATTTATTAATAAGGTGCATTACAGTAATTGGTTTTTAAAAATGGTTAACCAATCTTGAATTTCTGGTGCAAATTCCATTTACTCATGGTATATAATACTTCTTCTGTCTTTTAGAAAGAACTGTGAAGGAATGGTATTAATTCCATAAACATGTAGTGGAATTAACCAATAAAGGTATGTGACCCTAGGCTTTTTTTTTTTTTTAAGACAGAGCCTCAAGCTGTCGCCCTGGGTAGGGTGCCGTGGCATCACAGCTCACAGCAACCTCCAACTCCTGGACTCAAGCGAGTCTCCTGCCTCTGCCTACCAAGTAGCTGGGACCACAGGTGCCTGCCACAACGCCTGGCTATTTTTTTTCTTTTTTGGTTGCAGCCATCACTGTTGTTTTGGCAGGCCCGGGCTGGATTCGAACCCACCACCTTAGGTGTATGTGGCTGGTGCCTTAGCCACTTGAGCCACAGGCACTGAGCCACCCTAGGCTTTTCTTTATGGAAAATTATCAAGTACTTATCAATCTTTTTTCTTGTTACAGGTCTATTCAGATCTTCGGTTTCTTCCTGAGTCAGTTTTGGTGTTTGTCTTGTTGTGAATTAGTCCATCTCATCTAGGTTATCTAATTTGTTAGCATACAATTGTTCATAGTATTCTCTTATAATCCTTCTCCTTACTATATAATGTCAGCAGTAATGTCCCTTCTACCATTCCTAATTTTATTGAGTTGTCTCTTTTTTATTGGTCAGTATAAAGGTTATTCATTTTTTATTATTCTTTCAAAGAAAAAACTTTTGGGGCCAGGTGAGGTGACTCATACCTATAATACTAGCACTCTGGGAGGTTGAGGTGGGAGCTCAGGAGTTCAAAACCAGTCTGAGCATAAGTGAGACCTTGCCTCTACTAAAAACAGGGAAAAAATGAGGGAGGCATGGTGGTTCATGCTTGTAGTTCCAGCTACTCAGGAGGCTGAGGCAGGAGGATCACTTGAACCCAGGAGTCTGAGGTTGCTGTGAGCTGTGCTCATACCACAGCACTCTAGCCTAGTTAACAGAGTGAGACTGTCTCAAAAAAAAAGAGGTTTAGAAAAAGAAACAATTTTTGATTTCACTGATTTTTTTCATTGCTCTTCTATTCTCCACTTCATTCATTTATCCTATAATTTGTATTATTTCCTTCTTTCTGCTTGCTTTTAGTTTTCTAATTTTTTTAAAGTAGAACTTTAAATTACTGATTTGAGCTTTCTTATTTTTTTCCCAATATAAGCATTTACAATAATAAGTTTCCTTACTGTCACTGCTTTTACTGTATCTCATTAATTTTGTTATGCTATGTTTTTGTTTTTATCTACTTCAAAGTAATTTCTATTTTTCCTTGCAATTTCTTCTTTGACCCACTGGCTATTCAGTAGTGTGTTTAATTTCCACATCTTTGTGAATTCCCCAAACTTCCTTCTGTTATTAATTTCCTATTTCATTCCATTGTGGCCAGAGAAGATACTTTGTATGATTTCAATCCTTTTAAGTTGATAGAGACATATTTAATGGACCAATACACAGTCTATCCTAGATAATGTTCTATGCATACTTGAGAAGAATGTGTCATCTCCTGTTGTTGGAGTGTTCTATACATGTCTGTTATATCTAGTTGGTTTTTAGTCTTGTTCAAGTCTTCCTTCCCTTCACTGATTTCCTCTCTAATTGTCAAGTCCATTATTGAAAGTCAGGTATCAAAGACTCAAACTATTATTGTTGAATTGTGTATTTTTCCCTTCAATTTTACCTTTTTCTGTTTCATGTATTTTGAGGCTTTGATGTTAGATGCATATATATTTATAATTGCTCTATGTTCTTGATGGATTGTCCCTTTTATTATTATAAAATGTCCTTTATCTTTAGCAACAATGTCTGTTTTGTAAAGTCTACTTTACCTTGTATTAGTATAGTCATTTCAGATTTCTTTTGATGAATGCCTTTATGGTATATCTTTTTCTACTCATTTACTTTCCACTTATATGTGTTTTCAAGTCTAAAGTATGTCTCTTGTAGATATCAATATAGTTGCATTCTGTTTTTCATCCATTCTGTCAATTTCTCTCTTGTAATGACATGTTTAACATTTATATTTAATTACTGATAAGATCAATTTTGTGTTTGGAACTCTGCTATTTGTTTTCTAAGAATATTTTTTGTCCCTGTATTCTTACCTTACTGCCTTCTTTTGTGTTATACAGGTAATTTCTAGCATTCCATTTTAATTCCCACATTTTTTATTATACTTAAGATTTGGGAATGACAATTATCATCCTAACTTACAACAGTCTGGTTCAGGTTAATATAAACTTAATTTTAATAGTATATAAGCACTCTGATTCTAGATAGCTTCATTCTCCTTGGTGCTGTTATTTTCAAACTAACTACATCTTTGTACATAGATGCCCATCAACCCAGATCTATCACTGTTTTATGCAGTTATCTTTTAAATCAGTTAGGAGAAAAGAGTTACAATAAAAAATATGCTTATACTATCTTTTATATTTACATGCTGTTACCTTTACCAGTGCTCTTTATTATTCGTATGGTTTCAAGTAGCTATCTAAAAGTGTACTTTTTAGCCTAAAGGATTACTTTTAGTATTCCTTGCATAGCATTTTAACTAATGCCAAATTTTGTTTTTCTTTATCTAGAAATAACTTATTCTTCATTTTCAAAGTCTGGTTTTACTGGATAAAAAATTCTTGGTAGGCAATCTTTTTCTTTTAGTACTTTGAATGCTATCCCATCGCCTTCTGGCCTCCATGATGCTGATGAGAAATTTCCTGTTAATGTTAAGGATCCTTTGTACATGATTAATCTATTATCCCTTGCTGTTTTCCAGATAGTCTCCTTGTCTGTAGCATTTAACAGTTTGAGTCCATCTACTTAGAGTTTGAAAATCTTGTATATGTAGATTTATTTTCCATAAGATTTTAGATGTCTGGGGCCATTCTTTCTTCAAATATTCTTTATACTCCTTTCTGTCCTCTCCCCCTGAAGTTACCATTATGCATGTGTTGGTATGCTTGATGGTATCCCACAGGTTACTGAGGCTTTATTTCTTTTCTTTTTTTTGCTTTACTTTCTATGCCTGAGACTAGATAATTTTTTTTTTTTGAGACAGACTCTTACTATGTTGCCCTTGGTAGAGTGCCGTGGCGTCACAGCTCACAGCAACCTCAAACTCTTGGGATTAAACGATTCTCTTGCCTCAACCTCCCAAGTAGTCCTGTGGAGGACTACAGGTACCCACCACAATGTCCAGTTATTTTTTGGTTGTAGTTTTGGCAGGCCAGGAGTGGATCTAAACCCACCAGCTCTGGTGTATGTGGCTGGTGCCCTAGCCACTGAGCTACAGGCACTGAGCTGAGACTAGATAATTTCAATGAAACTATCTTTAAGTCTGTTGATTTGACTCTTTATTATGCCTGCTCAAATCTGCTACTGAGCCTCTGCAGTGAATTCTTCATTTTGGTTACTGTACTTTTCAATTCCAAAGTTTTTATTTGATTCTCTCTTTGCTTCTCCCTTTTGGTTTTTATAGTTTCTATCGCATTATTCATATTTTTAATTTTTTTACAATATTATTCTCATACTTCAGTTTTTTAGACATGGTTTCCTTCATTTCTTTCAGCATACTAAAAATAGCAAATTTAAATTCCATGGACTAATAAATCCAACATCAGGGTTTGCTTGGAGACAATGTCTATCAATTGCTTTTCTTCACCATGTATGAGACATATTTTCATAACTCTTTGCATGCCTCAAAACTTTTTGTTGCAAACTGAATGTTTTAAATATTATGTGCCAACTCTAAAAATTAGAACCTTCTCTTTTACAGGGTTTGCTATTGTGATTGCTATTTATTATTGTTCCCTTTCTTAGTTTAGTATCTTTTGGGAACAAGTTCTAAAGTCTGAATTCATTGGTATGTGTATCCACAGATGTCAATGCTTGGTTAGCTTAGTCTTTGCTCAATGGCTTTGTGTTTGTGTGAGGTGGACTTTCAACCGTCAAGAAGTTAATGTATCTGCCTTACCATTCAATTCCTGTTTTCACAGCCTGAAGGTCAGCCAGAGATGACAACTTAAGGCCTCCTCGAAGCTTTCCTGAATATGTACTCAACTTTACACATATGCGTGGCTTTCTTTATTCCCAGGAATACATTATAGCTTTTTCAAAGCCTTTATGAACATCACATTTCTCAGTTTTTTGTTGTTATTTTTTTTTTACAGGGGAAAGCGCGAACACAGTCCCCCACTACCACAAATTATGAAGTCGAGTTTCCTACATTTGGGGAAATCTCAGGAGTCAGCACATCCGCAGTGCAAATGGATAAGCCTAGCCCCAGGAAAACCACCTTTGTGATCATGGTATCTCCCCTGCCAGGTAAGTATTTTTCTCAGTTTTTTATTTTAAGCTGTTAGATTAGTTTTGTTTTTTGCCCCAGCTATTAACTACTGCTTCAGGCAACAATGAAGGTAAACACCTGATTTGAAAAGTTTACAGTAAATACCTCTGGAGTTAAGTTTTTTTGCACTTTACTTAGTCAGGCTAAGTAAAGATTTTCTTGCAGGTAGGTTTGCTATAGTATGGACATTTGTTCTCTCAAACCTCATGTTAAAATGTAATCCCCAATGTTGGAGGTGGTAGCCTAATAGAAGGTATTTGGGTCATGGGGACAGATTCCTCATGAATGGCTTGGTGCTATTCTTGCAGTTATGAGTGAGTTCTCACTCTATTAGTTCCTATGAGCCCTGGCTGTTACAAAGAGCCTGACATTATCTCGCTTTCTCTCTCTTGCTTCCTCCCTTGCCATGTGATCTCTGAACATTTGGCTCCCTTTTACTTTCTGTCAAAAGTAGAAGCAGCCTTAGGCCCCTATTAGAAGTAGATGCTGGCACCACACTTCTTGTACAGCTTACAGAACTATGAACCAAATAAGCCTCTTTTCTTTATAAATTACCTAGCCTCAAGTATTCCTTTATAGCAACACAAATGGACCAAGACAGGGATATTCCAGGGAACTACCAGACAAGTAAAAAAGTGACAATATTCTAGGAATGAAGCTCTAAAGGCATTCTATCCCCATTCTGACTTCTATGGCTGCCAGGCTGCTGGTTTTCATCATGATTGTTCACTGTTTATTTTTAAGGTTACCATAGAGCTGGAAAGAGAAGGATGGGAATGGAGCAAATTATAATGCTATGAAGTTTGCTGTTCTTACCAAGAATCAGCCATTTTTTTGTGAATAAATTTGTCCTAAATAGCTGGAAGCCTTTGGTCAATTTTCAGAGGTCTGAAAAAGTAAACTCTGACATTTTTGTCAATTTTCTCTTTCTTTTTATGAAGTTGTGAATAACTGAAAGTCCTTACTCCTCCAATTTCACTTACATCACCCACTAGCTGGGACTTTTAGATGGAGATATTCTTGAAGACCAAGCGAAATAAAATGCAATATACACTCTTTCTGGAATATAACTTACAATATTCCAAAATAAAAACAGCCAATTTTGGACTTCTAAATATAAACCATAAAGAACTGAGTCCTATTAAGAACTCAGAACTTTTACAATTCAGTTTCCAATTCTATATATCTTACTTTTCCTTTAATTTCCTTATAATAACTTGTCTAAATTAACTTTGACACCTATTTTTGAAAGAAAAATATAATTTAATTAGTGGCTCAGCAGAGTAAGAGACAAAATGTATATTAATTAAAAGTTTAAGGTAATAATCTAGGAGTTTCATTGATGGAAGGTGTATATGTAAGCAAGAAAATATTCCCCAATCAGAAGTAATATTCTAATATAAATTCACCCAGCTTTCACATAACAGAAACTTCTTATTCATCTTGTGTTTATAAGGATCAATTTCATTTTCTCATACATGAGAAAGAAGAAATTCTACACATTTAGGAATAATATGCCTTTTAGGAATCTAATAAAAGCTGTGGACTCCGTGGAATAATAAACATAATTCTGCTTATAATTTCAAGGGTTTGTTGGATAGCCTACATCCTGCTAGTTAAGAATCCCTACTGAACAAAAAAAGTATGTTTTTGATGAGGAAAAAATAGAGAATATTTAAATAATTATAATATTTTGCCTTCAGCAGAGCAATGAGAATTAAAAATATGAAAACATGTAGAGGTAGTCTTCAACTAATAAACATATTTCATTTCAAAAGTTAACTTGTAAATTATTTACTTAGAATTTATTACATGGTTTTCCTAATAAAAACTTTATTATAGGCTGGGTGTGATAGCTCATTATCTGTAATCCCAGCACTCTGGAAGGCCGAGAGGGATAGATTGCTTGAGCTCAGGAGTTCAAGACCAGCCTAAGTAAGAGTGAAACCCTCTCTCTAAAAACTTGCCAGGTGTTATGGCAGGCACCTGTAGCCTCAGCTACTTGAGCCCAAGAGTTTGAGCTATAATGCCATGGCACTCAACCCAGGAGACAAAGTGAGACTCTGTCTCAAAAAAAAAAACTTGTTGTAAACCATAGTTGAGAATGAGAAAATATAAGTCCCTTAAGGGCAGGTGCTTTTTTTTTTTTGTCTTTGTATTATAACGTCCTATTCAAATAAATAGAATAGGGCAGGTTCTTAGGAGACTTTTATAAAACCTACTGCACTGAATAATGTATTTGAATACAAGTACACTAAGAAAACAGGAAAAAAATACCAAAGTAATGACAAAGATCAAATAAACCACAAAGCCAAAAATAAGATAGAAAAGAATAAAGAGGCTCGGCGCCTATAGCTCAACCGGCTAAGGCGCCAGCCATGTACACCTAAGGTGGCGGGTTTGAATCCCCAGCCCGGACCCGCCAAAAAAAAAAAAAATAGTATTTTGACTAATAA